TTTTGTAAATAATAAAATGTGTTAATACCCAGACACGTGGGAAAAGGAAGATAGGATTCAAGTTATACTGGGATTTAAATAAACGAGAGCAGAGCCTTTCTAGAGAAGACAATGTCAGAACAATATGCCTGGTCCTCTGTGTGTATTTTTGCTTAATTAAAAAAATTATTGCAACAACCCTATCAGGCAAACCGAACCCATTGCTGTTAAGTTGATTCTGGCTCATGGACTTACAGAGACACTATAGGACAAAGTAGAACTATCCCATAGGGTTTCCAAGGAGCACCTGGGGGATTCGAACTGCTGACCTTTTGGTTAGTAGCCATAGCTCCTAACCACTACACTACCAGGGTTTCCCCTAGCAGGGAAGTGTCATTATATCAGCTGACTATCATTAACCCCATTTTACAGATAAGAAAGCTAAGGCTCAGAGGGGTTTAGTAACAGGCCCGAGTTCACACAGTTAGGTGGGAATTAAATCCTGATCTGTCTGATCACAAAGTCTGTAGTCTTTCCAACACACAACTCTTCAAGTTAACTTGAGGAATGGGGTGAGAGCGGGATGGGGGTTTGAGGGGGGAGCACAGAAAGCAGGGAGCTGGGGCGCTGGAAGGAAGAAGGCAGAGTGGGGATGGAAGTGTCTCAGAGCAATTTTGCCCCACTTTACAAGTGTTCCAATGGGCCCTCTTGTTTTTCAGGAAGGTGAAGACCTATGGCCGCAGTGATTATGTTTAATTTTCAGTTTTTAATTCTGCAGGGTCTCCTTGCGAAGCTGTGAACTTGGGTGTGCCTGTGGTGCTGTTACTACATGGCGCTCAGCCTCTGCTTGCTGAGCTCGGCGCGGGCGCCTTGGGGGTCTGCTTCGGCTTCCCAGCTGGCATAGGAGGCACCGGGAGCCCAGTTGCGGCAGCTCGGGGCTTGGCGCCTGCTCTCTCTCCTCCACCTTCCCCATTCGCAGCGCCCTCATTTCAGCTCAGGTGAAGGTACTGGCCAGTGTCTCCTTTGTCAGTTAAATCTCATTTTCAGGGCTGGGTATAATTGTCCAAGCTTTTCACTGCCTAAGGGCATGCCGCTGAGGGGCTGGCTGGAATCCAGCGTTTGCCTGGATTTGTACAAAGGCTTGGTATAGTCCCATCACAGATGGATGAATTTCCCTGAGACTCAGACTGGCCCATCTGATTATAGGTATTGAATGGAACAAGCTGGTTAGTCAGTGCTCTGCCCGCTCCTTGAGAGGCCACATGCTTGGGCCGGGCTCCTACGGGCTCAAGAGAGGGCTGAAGCCCAGGCGCTCCGATTCCCGGACCTGTGATGTCTCCCCTGAACCATAATATCCTGCCCCCAAGGCCGTCGGCGGTGTGAAGTGTCAAGGCGTGAGCTCTGGGCAGGAGGTAGAGGGGCCTGTGGAGCTGTGTGGGTGTGGGTGTGTGTGGGTGTTAAGACAGACAGACAAAAGAGAGCTTCATCCCACAGAAGTGCGCCTGAGGACTGAGCAACGGCCACACATCCAAGAGGCAGCCCAATCCTGGAGATCAGAAGTGACCAGGGCATGCGGGAGCCCAGAGGCTAGGAGCACAGTTGCTGGAACCCTGGAATCTGGCCTGGGGTTAAAAGGGCTGTTCCAATGGGGTCAAACATCAGGATCGTTCCTGGAAGTTCATTTATTCATTCGTTCATCCAGCAAGCATTTCATTTACTGATTCCACAAATATTATTGAGCGCCTACCATGTGCCCTCATACCAGTCCAATGGAAAGCCACATGAGGAAAATACAGTGTGCCCCTCAAGTGCTGAGAAATGAAAACCAAGGATCACAATAAAAGTATATTCAGTAAATGCAAGGTACAGAATTTCAAAATCTTTATCATACTTCATCTTTCTAAGGGATTATTCATATAAATTATAGATCAGAGAGTAGAACAGACCTCGCCAACCATCCCGTGCTAGTGTTTTCCAAGCTTGCCTGAAGGTAAGGACCCACTGAGGTGCTTGGTTTAAAGACACAGGTTCCAGCCCTGCTCTTCCGTCTGAGGGAGGGGCCTGGGAATGGGTATCCTTAATGGGTGCCTCATGTGATTCTGTAACAGGCAAGTTTGGGAGACACAGATGGACCAGTCCTTACGTTTCACAAATGAGGAAACTGCAGTCTAGGGAGAGGGGTGCCTTGCTCAAGGTAGAACTGGCCAGACTGGCAGAGCCAGGAATAATACTTCGATTTCCTAACTCTCCCACGTTGATGGAAGCTTTTTGCACAGCACAAAGACTGCTTATGATATTTAAACCTGGGATACAACAAGACACAAAACATAAAAACAAACGCCAGGTCAGATTCCTGTTAGGAGCGCAGATGTATCTGGGATGACTAATTGCTGTACCTAATCACCTAACTCAGCGCTGTGCTTCCGGCAGCCAAGTCTGCAGGGGAAATGGGTTGGGTTATTCCATTCTCAGGGTCCAATAAAATGAGGCACGATCATTTCGTATGATAAGAAAAGCTTTTTCCTGTGGCATCTGTAACAGATTTCAGAGCTCTCCAAACTCTCAGTCTCCTATTACGGCAATTACAGGAGAAAGGGGAAGATACTGGAAAAAAAAAAAACCAAACCCATTGCCAGTGAGTTGATTCCGACTCATGGTGATCCCATGCGTTACAGAGTAGAACTGCTCCATAGGATTTTCTTTCTTTCTTTTTAATTAATTTTATTTTTTGGTGAAAACATACACAGCAAAACCTGTTCCCATTCCAGTTTCAAGACACAATGGTCAGTGACATTGGTTATATTCTTCACATCACATCAACATTCTCGCTATTTCTGTTCTAGCTGTTTCCTTTCCATTTACTTAATCTCCCTGCCCCCAACCTTCTCATCTATGTTTTAAAATAGCTGTTGACCCTTTGATCTTATATAGATAATTAAAAAACAAAAGAACAACAACAAAACCGGAGGTACTCAAGGGTGAGCATCTTTACTCTTTGGGCTAAGCTGTTACTTAGTTTAAAAGTGACTTCAGGGCATAGTTTCAATTCAAGGTTTGAAGAGCAACCGAGGGCCATAGTCTCAGGGATCCATGGGGTTTTCTGGGCTTTAATCTTTATAGAAGCCATTTTCAAGGTCTTTCTTTCTGTGCATTAGGTGAAAGTTTACAGAGAAAATTAGCTTCCTATTCGATAGTTTGTACATAAAGTATTTCACGGTCTTGGTTTCGTTCCGCTGCAATGTGTCAGCACTCTCCCTATTTCAGCCCTGGGTTCCCCGTTTCACTTTGTCCTGATTTTCTACGCCTTCCTGCCTTCTCATCTTTGCTTTTGGGCAAATATTGCCTGTTTGACCTCTTGTAATTGATTGTTCTAAGGAGCACTTTCCTCTTAGGTGTTATTGTTTATTTTATGGGCTTGTCTATTGTGTGACTGGAAGGTGGTCTCCGCAATGGCTTCAGTTCCAGGTCAGAACTGTGTCTTAGGGCCGCAGTCTTGGGGGTTCCTCTGTTCTCTGTCAGACCAGTAAGTCTAGTCTTTTTCATGAATTTGATCTTTCGTTTTACATTTTTCTCCGTCTCTGTCTCGAACTCTCTGTTGTAATCCCAGTCAGAGCGGTCGGTAGTGGTAGACGGGCACCATCTAGTTCTTCTGGTCTCGGGGTCGTGTAGGCTGTGGCTCATGTGGGCCATTAGTCCTTTGCACTAATTACTCCCTTGAATCTTTGTTTTTTTTTCGCTCTCCTTTGCTCTGGACTGGAAGAGACCAATAGTTGTATCTTCGATGGCTGCTTGAAAGCTTCTCAGACCCCAGACACCAAAGTAGGATGTAGAACATTGTCTTTATAGACTATGCTACGCCGACTGACCTAGATGTCCCTGAGTCTATGGTTCTTGGCCTTCAAGCCTGGAACTTCATCCCTTGAGGTGTTTAATTATGGCTAAGAGGTTTCCCTGACTGTGACACTTGTGTGCTCTATTGTCTATATTCATCTGTGAGGAGCACCTACAGACATGTATTTAGAGTTATCCACCTCCAAACCTGTATCTGCTGGTGGATATGCTCCCTTACATCCTCCCACACCTCTTTGCCAGGGCTTTCTTCTGCAGCACTGCTGGGTGGGTTTGAACTGCCAACCTTTGGATTAGCAGCTGATTGCAAACTGCTTGCTCTACCCAGTCTCCTTAAGGGGAAAATACAGAAAAAAAAAAAAAATAGCAAACAGAACCATTGCTGTCGAGTTGATTCTGAAGGGAAATATGAGGGAAAAAATGGTGGTGCTCTACCCTCCCCCAATGAAAACTACTTCTTCCATATAATTAATCTCATATGGGTGGTCTGGAGTTTCAATTCTCTCAATGAATGACAGTGTGTTTGAAGGGGTCCCAAGATAGAGTTCTTGAAAGCAGATCTTTTTCTGACCCTGCCTAGCATTCCTCAGAGATATACAGGCTGTGAGGCCTATGGCAAGTCATGGAATCCTCCGGGCCCTTAAGGCTCCCCCTGGAAAGCAGGAATAGTAGAACCACGACCTCCAGTAGAAGGTGGGCTGGCTGCGTTCTGAGGCCCGGCAGCTGTGGCATCTGGGACTCTCTGCCGAGCTGTTGTGGGCAGGAGCCGTGTGTCAGGGTTTGTGTGTGACTGTGTGCAGTGTGTGTGATGAGCGGCACGCCACACGCGTCCACATGGCAAAGCCGGACTCTGGGGAAAGGAGTTTGTCTTTTCAGGCCCGCCAGGAGGGCGTGAGAGGAGGCACACGATTGCCTTTGTCGTTTGTTCTTCCTGTGCGGGGACAGAAGTCTTTCCAGTGGCCGCGGAATGTGTAAAAAGTTCCATGCTGGAGAGCTGCCGGGCCCTGCCCTGGAATCCGGCAAATGAGGCCTGGTGGGAGGAGCTCCCGGGCAGGCCCAGCCGCTGGGCAGCCCCACATCCAGCCGCTGGGCAGCCCGCCATGCATCTGCGGGACCCCCGCTGTCTGCTCCCCGCAGCCCCTTCTGAACCCCAGTCGCCTGCAACAACCCACCGTCATCATGGCGGTACTGCGGCCTGTGGCCGTGAGCACCGTGAGGGGAGCCAGACTCACCACCTCGTCCACTCCTCCTGACTCTGCAGGTGGCATGTGTCGTCCTGCCTTCTGTGGAGGGGCCTGAGCTTCAGAAGGCCGGCGGGAGGCAGGGGGAGGACGTGGCGAGATGGGAGCTAGCCGGGGAAAAGAGAGGCGAGACGACACCACAGCCCTGCGGGCCCGCTGTCACTGCTCAGAGCCCGAGAACAAGGCCGCCACTGTTTGCTTTACCCTTTCATCTAAAGTTGAAACAAAACCAAACAAAAATACAACCGATACTGGTGAGGGAGGAAAAAAAAAGACTGTGCCACCACAAAACCTAATTGTGGCGTTAGTGGCCTTTTCTTGTTGCTATTTATATCCCTGGGCGTTTCCACCATGGAGGAGGCAGGCGACTCACCGCAAGAGGCCTGTTGCCAAAGCACCATGGGGCAGTGCTATCTTAGGAGGGACATTCTCCTGGGTTGCTATTGTCTGGGTTTTTCTACCCAGGGTCCGGCGCTCAGGAGGCCCTGAACCCAACCGCGATGTTGAACTTCGCCCTAGTTTCAAGGTGTAAATAAATGAACAAGTGCCACCTGGAAATGCCCAGGGGCGGGCCTGAGGCATCGGCCCCCAGGGGAGCCCCGAGATCTCTCCTGGGGGTGCGGGGCGAGGCCTCAGGGGCTAACAAAGGCTGAGAAACAGATTTGTGTGTGTGAAAGCAATTTGCTCTGGGTCTGCCCTAGCCGGGTCTCTGGGGTGGTTTGCACAATCTTGATAGTGATTAAAAGCGAGAGAGGAAGACAGACGAGAGATGGGGGAGTGGAGGGTGGGGAGGGAATCAGACCAGGTTTTATATGCCATCTTGTTTAAACAAGACTCTTATCAAAGAGTAATCCTAAACTTTGGTCTTGCTTATTGCCTCAGCTCCCTGGGGAATGGCTATGTGGCTTTTGGATTCCACCAGGGGGATAAGATTGCCTACTTAGAGATAAGAGCCCACATAAGCAGATAAAGTTGATTGAGGTGGGGAGTGAATTCACTTGTGTGCTGTGAGGACGTGCTTCGCTCCCATGATCAGAGTGTCTTCTGTGCATGAGATGTACACCAAGGCTGAGAGGAAAGATCACGTCTAGTTATAGAACAGGAGGCCCTGAGGTGGAGCCCTGGTGGCGCAGTGGTTAAGAGCTTGGCTGCCATTCAAAAGGTCGGTGGTTCAAATCCAGCAGCCACTCCTTGAAAACCCTATAGGGCAGTTCTACTCTGTCCTATAGGGTCACTGTGAGTGGGAATTGACTCGATGGCAATGGGTTTGGTTTGGTTTTGGGTGGCACAAATGGTTAAGCACCCAGAGGCACCTCAGAAGAAAGCCCTGGCGATCTGCTCCCCACAGGTCACAGCCTTGAAAACCCTACGGGACTTATACTGAGCACCAGCTGTGAACTCTGCTCTGTGCTAGGTACTGAGTGTAGAATGTAACCTATGCAAACATGGTCCCAGGTCTCTGTTGTGGGAGTTCAGCCACAAATAATGTGAGATATAAAAAGATCACATACTGGCTAATTCCATTTATATAACATTCCTGAAATGATAAAATGATAGAGCTGAAGAACGGATTAGTAGATACACGTGGTAATGTAACAGTTCTGTTGACTTGGTTGTAGATATACAGAAGTACATACATGATAAAATTTTACAGATATGTACAGAAACACACACACAAATACAAATAAACTGACGAATCCTGAACAAGAAAAAAAAAAAACAAAAAACCTTATGGAGTGCCCACTCTGACACACGTGGGGTCCCCATGAGTCGGAATTAACTCCACGGCAGGCGGTAGTTCTAAAATAGCGTTTGACGGTGCGCATGCGCTGTGCCCAGCCCTGAGCCATAGGTGTGGAGGAGGGTATGAACAGCCACAGCAGAAGAGGCCATAGCGTGCAGGGGGTAAGTGGGAGCCCTTAGGCTCTGCATTTGTAACTGCCTGGGTTTGAAACCCACCTCTACCACTAAGCCATGTCACCGGGTAAATTACCTCTCTTTGCCTCCATTTTCTCACTTATAAAATGGGAATAATTTTTCTGGGTTGTTGGGAGGATTAAATGTAAAGTGCCTGGAACACAGCAAACGCTCAATAGATGTTGTTGGGTGCTGTCTGGTCGATTCTGACTTGCACGGACCCTAGAAGACAGAGTACAAGTGCCCCACACGGTTTCCTAGGCTGTAATCTTTACAGGAGCAGATCGCCAGGTCTTTTCTCTTAAGGAGCCACTGGGTGGGTTCAAACCACCGACCTTTCAGTTAGCAGACTAGTGCTTAACCAGGGCTTCTTCGATAGCCATTGTTGTCATTGTTAGGTGCCATTGCGTTGGTTCCGACTCATAGGACCCTATGTGCAACAGAACAAAACACTACCCTGTCCTGCCCCATCCTCACAATGGTTGTTATGCTTGAGCCCATTGTTGCAGCCACTGTGTCAGTCCATCTCATTGAGGGTCTTCCTCTCTTCTGCCGACCCTGTATTTTACCAAGCATGATGTCCTTCCCCAGGCACTGGTCCCTCCTGATATCATGTCCAAAGTATGTGAGATGAAGTCTCGCCAATAGACATTGGCCATTTATTGTTGTTATCGTTACATATTATTATCTAAGACTCTGATCCTTGCCTTCCAGGAATTTACAGCCTAAACGGGAAAGTGAGTAAGGCGTGTTCTGAAATACGACATTATTGGGCGTGGTTATTGCTGGTTAAGTGTGCTGTGTCAGAGAGGGACAAGGACCTTTTCAGCAGTCATTAAAGAAGGCTTCAGGGAGGAGATGACATTTGAACTGTGCCTTCAGAGTTGATCAGGAAGTTAGTAGGTGAGGACATTCAAGCTGGACAAAATTGCATCTATAAGGATATAGAGGCAGAAAAAAGAGAGGCATGTTTGTGGGGTGCCAGGCTGCTTGGCTTGGCTTCAGCCAGGGTCTCTAGGGAAGTCCTGAGAAATAAGGCAGGAGAGTAAGTAGATCAGTGCCAGGTGAATGTTATTGAATGTTATTATGTACACAGCAGGAAGCCATTGGGAGGCTTTGAGAAGGGAGTGGGAGCTGAGTCTCCTCCCCTTCCTGTATTCGATCTGCCTGAACTCACCCTCGCCAGATCTGCAGAGACTCCCGTCAGCTTTGGCTGACCACCAGCAGTATGCTGGAGGGCAGGGTCCCGCGAGGCTGCAAAATAGCCCTTTCTCCATTTCTCCCACCCTCGGAGTATTGAGGACCAACTGGGAAGTGATCTGAGAATGGGGAATGTGGTGGGGAAAGCTGCTGAAGATGACTGAACAGAGCTAAAATTGGTCTGAAATGGCCCTGTCCTATAGGGTAGCCCCAAAGATTACAGCCTTGGGAACCCCATGGGGGCAGTTCTACTCTGTCCTACAGGGTCGCTGTGAGTCGGAATCCACTGACGGCACAAAACAACAACACAGTCGGAATAAGCAGCCCTAGCGGCACAAAGGGTTAAGAGCTCGGCTGCTAATCGAAAGGCTGGAGGTTCTAACCCACCCAGCAGCTCTGCGGGAGAAAGACCTGGCAATCTGCTTCTGTAAAGATTATAGCCTAGAAAACCCTATGGGGCAGTTCTACTCTGTCACATGGGGTCACTATGAATCGGAATCCACTCGGTGGCACCTAACGACAAGAGAGTCGTGATTGACTTAATGACAACCACCACCAACAGTCACTGGGGCTCTTGAGCGCTTGATATGTGGCCACTTCCAATTGAGATGCGCTGGAAGTGTAAAATGCACACCGGCTTTCAAAGACTTAAGGAAATGTAAAATATCTCAATAATATTTCTAATACTGATTACGTGCTGACGTAATATCTTGAATAAAGTACCCCAAAACTAAGCCAGTTGCCATCGAGTTGATTGCGACTCATAGTCACCCTATAGAGGACAGGATAGAAGTGCTCCATAGGGTTCCGCCCCATAGAGAAAGACTGCTACATCTTTCTTTGGAGCAGCTGGTGGGTTCAAACCGCTGACCTTTCAGTTAGCAGCCAAGCGCTTAACCAGTATGCCACCAGGGCTCCTTAATGTCTTGGATATATTGGTTTAAAGAAAATATGTTATTAAAATTAATTTCACTCATTCTTTTTTACCTTTTTGTGTGGCTACTAGAAAATTTTAAATTACATCTGTGGCTCAAATGATGTTTTTATTAGACAGTGCCAGTCTGGAGGGACAGGGGTTGGTGATCTATGATCTAGACAGTTGCCAGGGCTGTGTGGCCTTTCTTGCCACCTCGACGCATTGCCTGGGGGTGGGGTGTGTGTGGGGGTGTGTGGTGCTTGCTCCTGGGGGAGCCGGGCTCAGATTTGAACCAAATCAGCATTTTACTCAGGATAAGACACTCAGTGAAGAAATGGTGGTCATTGGCTGTGCTGCCACGTACTGACCCTTGAAATAAATGAAATAAGCTCCAAAATTCTGACTTTCAGTTGAGGCTGGAGGATGACAGGACACAGTGTTATGGGGAGAACACCCTTGCCCATGAGAGTAAAGGGAGAAGCTGCTAGGAGGTAGGGGTGCCAGGTCATGGTTTCCTGGTTGGGCCTGCCTGTGACATTACCAACACTCCCGAGTCTGGTGCTGGTGGAGAGGTTGGGATTTGCAGACCTCTGAAAACATGTTGTATGTGAAGGAAACACACCGAGTTGTGATTTAGGAAATAATATTGGAGTTATTATTCCCTGTTCTTGAGCAGACGCTCCTTGGAAACTCTATGGGGCAGTTCTACTCTGACTATAGCATCGCTATGAGGCAGAATTGACTTGATGGCAACGGCTTTGTTTGGTTTTGGACCTTGAGCATGGGCTCACAAGGACTCACAAGAACACATCAACTGAGCCCTGAGGTATAAAGACAATAGCGAAGATAATCTTGGAAAGGATCTTTTAGGGAACCTTTCACATAAAGCCACTCCAACAGAACACAAAAGACTTTTCACTCTTTATCTTTTTCTGTTAATGTTTAGTGAATAGAAATTTGTTGGACCAGTGAAGACCCTCCTGACTGTCATTAC